ATCGACATTGCATGGTAATGACTTTACATTCACAGATCAAATTGGCTAACATAGAACAAGGCAAAGTTTAAATATTCCAAATTCCAAATTGATATTTTTCAAACCACAAATTAAAAACAAAAAATAACAGACAAACCACAAAATGAAATATACAACATAACCCAAGTTCCAATAACAAGACAAAAAGATGCTTTAACATATGTGTACGCAAAAGAATTTCATACAGTCATACACATACTAGTCAACAAATGTTCACAAGAGTAGATGACATCAATTACTGCATGGAACATCAGAGATAGGCAAAAAGACCACAGCATTAATATCTTGATATGTGAACTGGGTACTACAATGGTGGCTTGTACAAAGTGATAATTTTATAATTTACAATTGTACATATAATCTTTTAAGTGCAAGTTCAATACAAAACTTAAGTATACTGGTCAATATAACAATATAAGCAACTAATATAAGCTTAAATAGAATATATGATGATGACCTTAATGTTGAAACATGAAAACATGTGAAAGTCATTAGATATAGCATGTAATCTATAACACGTGGGAGAGTCACTAAATAGGACACAAATGGATATAAAATGTTAAAACATGGGATATTCAAACCTAGAAAAACATTTAATTTTTGATATATCCTCCACCAACATTGATACATTTGCCCCATTGCTTTACCAGTGTGTCAAAACCCTCAGCACAGAAATCTTTTGACTGTTGTCTCAACCACTTCCACACCTCTTATTCAAACTCTTCACCTTCAGCAAAATGTCTGCTACCAAGATGTTTTTTAGCAGCTCAAACAAATGGACATCATTAGGGACCATGTCCGGGTCACAAGGCAGATGTTCAAGAAGTTTCCACCGTGGCTGTTGAATTTTCTTCTGGGTTGCTCATGCTATATGGGGTCTGACATTGTTTTGATGAAGCAGTACACCTCCTGTCAGCTGGCCTAAACGTTTTCTGCGAATCGTATCCCGAAGCTTCAACAGAACTTCACAGTATGATGCCGAAGTCACATTTTCACCACGCTTCTGAAAATGGCCTAACAATACTCCCCAAGAATCCTAAAACAAGGTAAGTATAACCTTCCCAGCAATGGTGAAACCTTAAAATATTTTGGTTAAGGTGTACTGTGATGTTTCGATTGCACTGAAGCATGCTCTGATTCAGGTGATTAGTGATGCACCCATGATCCGTCCTCAATACAGTAACATTCTTGTTAAGCGTATCTTCTCCTTGATCTGCACACTGCAAGAGACGTTGCAAGGGCAGACGCATCGGTTAATTTTTTCTCAATCTTTCAGTTCTCTGGGCACTCACTGTGCGCATATTTTCAGAATCTTCAAACGATCATGCAATAATCAGTATGCTAAACCATGAGAACACCCTAGTGCAGTACCTACACTGTCTATCGTTATACTTTTGTCAGCTCAAATCAACTCTTCCACCCAGGGCACAGTTGCTTCTGTTGCATACTCAACATGGTGACATGGTCGGGCATCATCTGCGACTTTAGAGCATATTTAAGTGTATATTTCAACCCAGCTGTGAACCGCTTTACGTGACAAGAACGTCCCACAGTAAATAGGAATCATTTCTCTATAAATACCCTTTGCATTGAGTCCTTTCAGCCACAAAAAATGCACAACAGTATGCTGCTCTTTGGTAGAATACACCCCAAGCAAGGTCATCATTTTGACTACTGAAACCAGCCTATGAACATATGTATGCATGTCTGCTACCTAGACTGTCATGAAGCTGGACTGTGCTATTATGTAGTGATATACACAGAAACCTAACATGCCCATTATAACTGTTTTACTTCCATTTGTGATAAATGATACAAACTCCGTCCTAAGTGCAAACAATATACATTTATATGTCTTTGATCTTGTTCTTTCTACACTACATGTTTCGGCCTCTATCGGCCATCATCAGGTGTATACTCTTAACGTTGCTGCCACACTGAACCCAGTCTAAAACTTAACATTTAAAAACACAATGTCACGTTCTTCGTATTATCAACATCTACATCGTTGATATGTGTCTGGTATGTAGATTATGTTGCACACGTCNGTATACACCTGATGATGGCCGATAGAGGCCGAAACATGTAGTGTAGAAAGAACAAGATCAAAGACATATAAATGTATATTGTTTGCACTTAGGACGGAGTTTGTATCATTTATCGTGTAGAGTGCAACAGGATGCTTAAATATAATATTGTCCATTTGTGACCCATTTTCTGACTCTTCCTCTTCACTATGTATGAGGCTGTCTGAGATGTGCGCATGTTGTGTGTGTGTGCGTGCACGTGCGCGCACACAACTGTACAACTGAACACGAGTTTCGCCACACAATCTTCTTCAGTACCTCACATTTGTTCCTTCTTTTGAGTAATAACAGCACCATCAAATATAATATCAGGGATTATCCAGTAGCCAGAAGATGATGGCAAGGCATATCCTGGTTTTCTGCTGGTGCTAAGCTTGGGGTATGGCACAGTCATGATGTGCTCAAAGCTAAGAGGGTCCAATGCAATCCTTTCTTGTAAAAGGTGAGCTTGTCTCTATGCATAATTACATACCATGTATGCAGCCACACATTCTTAACCTTAGCACTAGATTCAGGTGTCATCAGTTTCACACCAGGTGAAAAGAGTCCTCACTATGAAACGGATAGGAAGCTGCATGCCTCTGCTAGGAATCAAACCAGTATTACTGGTGATCCAGCCTGTAGCCCTATACTGACTGAGCTATACCAGCCATATTCTTGAACAAGTCTGTACACAATCCCACAGGGCATATGAAAGCACTGAAGATATTCGTTCAAAGCTATATGAGAATGTTATCATAACAGTCAGAAGGAGCATACAGCCTTCCCACCGACTAAACAAAGTGCATCAAAGGATTCTTGGAACACAGTTACCTCATTATGTGCAAAGTGACATCTGGTGTTGAAAATGAAGATCATTTCTCTGTAAAGCTTCCACTTCATATTGCAGACTCATGCAGGCAAGCTTGAAAGTCTCAAAGTGAGCTGGTCCCTGTTATTTTTGTTACTTTCATGTGGATCGAATGATAAGTAAGAATCGGTGTTCACTCTACTCCTGCTTTATTAAGACACAGAGATTTGATACAGAAGTATGCCTTATATATACATACAGGCTTATAACCATAGTAACACATACGAGGGGGGACCCAAAAATAACCGGAACTGACCTGCTGCGCGCGCATGCTTTGTAGTTACGAGTTGTGCTGCTAGGTGGTGTTAGCTGGGGGTCTCCCGCGACTGTTAGTGAGCTGGCATCAGTCTGAGTTAAGTGGTTTGTCTGTGGTGCTCTGTTGTGTGCGTTCCTGT